CAGGATGAGACTTTAAGTCCTAATATATTTATACATGATTTGTAAGTTTCCAGTTTTTTGTTGTTATTTCTTGGAGGTTTTCCTCTTCAATCTGAGATGTGGAGCTCACAGGAGTTACTGATATCAATGGTCCAAGAAAGTCCCGCAGTAAGTAATGAAACAGCCCAATAGTAAACAGTTGTGATAAGAAAAGGGGCGAGGAACAAGAATAGAACGCACATTACGGTGATTTTGTCGAAAACAACTTACCAAAATAAGGAACACATTTCCTGTTTCTAGTAAAATGGGATCGAATTTCGTAGTTTGTCAGAAATTGTGAAAATTTTGCTGAAGGCGGAAAACATCCGGGGGGGGGGGAGCATTCTTAGGTTGTAACATCTGGTGAGTAGAAAGTAGCAAACCAACGACAGTTACAAACTGTAAGTTGAAAGTAAAAGAAAAAAAAAAATAGAGCATTATTATAATGACACAACGAAGTATCTCTTAAACGTTTACTTAACCTTTTTCACGAGTATCATTTATGTACTTAAATTGTATACACATTAATGACATAATTATTTCATTGTTTTTGGAACAGTGCTTGTTAAGGTACAGAGACCCACAAAAAAAAAGATTTGATTTTGTAATCGGCAGATCCTGAAACTACGTTAGCTAAACTTGATGGAAAATCATATCTTGATACATGACATTTATCCCCCACATCCTCCCCTAGTGTTTGTAATCGACAGATCCTGAAATTACGTTAGCTAAACTTGATGGAAAATCATATCTTGATACATGACATTCATCCCCCACATCCTCCCCTAGTGTTTGTAATCGGCAGGTCCTGAAACTACGTTAGCTAAACTTGATGGAAAATCATATCTTGATACATGACATTTATCCCCCACATCCTCCCCTAGTGTTTGTAATCGGCAGATCCTGAAACTACGTTAGCTAAACTTGATGGAAAATCATATCTTGATACATGACATTTATCCCCCACATCCTCCCCTAGTGGCTCAAAGATAAGTCTGCAGACTTACGACGCTAAAAGTCGGTTTTCGATATTTGTGGTGGTGGATAGAGTACAGATAGCCCATTGTGTAGCTTCTTTCTTAACAACAACCAAACCAAATACATAACATTGTTCTTATTTAATATCTTGGTTGTTGTGAGTGTATGCTAAAACTCCAGCTAAGTCTTTTTTTTTTGTGTGATATGAAACTATTTTTAGATCATGGTGCCTATTTCGATTAGCATTATGATGAACTTTGTAACAGTTTTGTAATTTGAGATTGTTATGTAGTTAGTTTGCCAACAACAACAACAACAAAAGGCGTTAAAAGTGCGTACAACTAGTTTTTGTATTTCGCTGTAATGGCTTCCTCTACATGTCCTGTTTAAGATTTTGACGAGTACCCAGTTGGCATTGTTTCATATATTCTAATATTAAAAGTTTGTTTCAGGTTTAGTCGTAAATTGGTCTATATGAAAAAGATCATACTTAATGTACCGAAATAACTGAATAGAAACATGAAACTCTACTTTTTAGTGATGCTATCCGGAGGAATTTCAACGTGAAGAATACTTATTTAAGTATATCCAAGTACATTACTAAATATAAGTGATAAGATTCCATATTCGATACTAGTAAACAACTAATGTGTTGTAATTTTTCTACTTATAAAGCAGTAAGTAGTGTTTGTGTTTGTGTGGCTTTACAACGGTAACGGTGGCAACGAAGAGAAAATTTTATTTGTGGTCGTTCTTTGTTTTTAACGGAGACGTGTGTTCCAGAATGATTTTTTGTTTTGCCAGGAGAGAAAACAACAGCAAAAACTCAGAGAAATTGACTGTAAAATTCTCCCAACTCTAAGAAAGAAGCATGTGATTGGTTTAAATTCGTACTACAGTTACTTCACATATTAGGAATTGACTGTAAAATTCTCCCAACTCTAAGAAAGAAGCGTGTGATTGGTCTAAATTTGTACTACAGTTACTTCACACATTAGGAATTGACTGTAAAATTCTCCCAACTCTAAGAAAGAAGCGTGTGATTGGTCTAAATTTGTGCTACAGTTACTTCACACATTAGGAACTGACTGTAAAATTCGTGCTCTAGGTTGCATTAACAACTTCACACATTAGTTACAATGGAATGTTTTTTTTAGGCACTTTAAAACGAAATCGAAAGCTCTGAACAGAAAGCGAGCAGGGCAATATTTCAAACGAATATTTTGAGAAAAAAATATTATTCTTATGAGACATAAAAAGGAAGCGAGAAAGAGGTATAAAAGGTTACCAGCAAGGCCTCGCTTAAAATATTGACATCAGGTCATTTTCTCTTTCAGCCCGGCATGGCCAGGTGAGGTGGTTAGGGCGCTTGACTCCCAATCTAAGGACTGCGGGTTCGAGTCTCCTTCCCACCAAGCATGCTCACCCTTTCAGCCGTGGGGGTGTTATAATATGATGGTTAATCCCACTACTTGTTGGTAAAAGAGTAGCCCAAAAGTTGGCGGTGTGTGGTGATGACTAGCTGCCTTCTCCCTAGTCTTGCACTGCTAAATCAGGGACGGCTAGCGCAGATAGCCCTCGTGTAGCTTTGCGCGAAATTCAAACCAAACCAAACCAACCAACTTCTCTTTCATCGATGACTTCCTATGCTTTACCTTCACAATTTTGTACTGGACAACACCTATCCAGCTGTTTGGATTCTTGTCAAGTATTTATCACTATAAGTGAGACAGTTTGCGCTAAAGTGAATTCTAATAGACTTTTTCTAAGATCCCTGACAACTAATACGTCTTGTGGCTCCTCGTGAGATCCCTGACATCTAGCACGTCTCAATTCTCATTGAATATATGACTTCAATGTATAACTTGAGACACGTATATTGTGAAATCATATTTTAAGTTTGTGAATTCTTAATACTCTTTCTTGCAGTTCTATGTGAAAAATGTCTTTCTTCTGCAATCCTCGCTTTTTCCCCAGTGATAAATGGACCGATCTTCTAACATTCAAAGAAGCAGATGGATGGTGCGGCTTACAGTAATTATAGTACGTACTAAGACTACTGACGTAGCAGTTATGACATCAGTTATTAAGACTGATATATTACACACTACTACAAATAGCTTTATAATGTTGCCCACTCGGATGGCTTTTGTTCTGAAACTTTAAGATTCGTTTAGTGTCTTTGGTCAGACGTTCAAGAAGACACTTCAACGGTAGAGGGCGACTTCATTATTTTCATCTGTTTTAGTGTACGAGATTTAAATGAGTGTAGAAAAGAAAAACCCTCTGTCATATCCGTCAGAATATGAACAGGACATATTGGAGAACGTATTTCAGTGAAAAAAAAACCTTATTAATATGTATTTTTACGCTTTGCTATATTTTCAGGGTGTAGCAACCCGACTAAACAGATAGGTTAATTGTGCGATAGATTAATATCTTGTTCTTGCTTATGTTATAACTTAAGTTAAAGACACAATGATTAACAAAGCAGTCACTACTGTTTCTTTGAAGAAAAACACAAGATTGATTAATATCCATTGTTTATTAAACGAAAAAAAAAATACGACGAAAATAAACTGAAAATCGTGGAATATTTAAAACGATTGCTTAAAAAATGAACGTTTAAACAATGCTTATAACCCGACAGCAAGCTATGCAATAACGAATTATAAAACTTGTGAAATGAAGGTTAATTTGTAGTTACATTTTAGTGGCCCGGCATGGCCACGTGGTTAGGGCGCTCGACTCTGAGGATCGCGGGTTCGAATCCCCGTCCCACCAAATATGCTCGCCCTTTCAGCTGTGGGGCGTTATAATGTGACGGTCAATCCCACTATTCGTTGGTAAAAGAGTAGCCTAAGAGTTGGCGGTGGGTGGTGACGACTTGCTGCCTTCCCTCTAGTCTTACATTGCTAAATTAGGGACGGCTAGCGCAGATAGCCCTCGTGTAGCTTTGCGAGTAATTCAAACAATCACCTACATTTTAGTACAAATCAATTAAATATGTTTTTCGTAAAGGCGCATTTAAAAACATATATTATAAAAAACGAAAAGTAAATAATTTTTTTCTCCCTTAATTACAGAAACGTTTCTATAGTAGACCGACCAAACCATTATACACACATCTATAACCAGCCTGTTTTATAACAGTTGAAGTAATCTTTAGAAGATTCTTGAAATACGAAACTAAACTTTGAAATTTGATTAAAGCCCCTTGTTTCTTATATTTATATAAAAAAAAGGATAATTTTTTGAGCTGTTAAGTTAATTGCTTGTTTGTTTGCAATTAAGCACAAAGCTACACAATGGGCTATCTGTGCTCTGCCCACCACGGGTATCGAAACCCGGATTCTAGCATCGTAATTCCGCAGACATACCGCTGTGCCACTGGGGGGCGTTAACTTAATTCTAAAATAAATAAATAAGCATATTTTATACACGTTTTGAAACTGTTTAAATGTCAATGTGACAACGGTTACGTGGTTTTCTCAGGAGAATGTTTAGGTTACTGAATTAACGCTGAAAATAAAAACTAAAATTTTTAACTTATACTGCACATAGTATTAAAGACCCCCCCCCCCAGTGGCACAACGGTATGTCTGCGGACTTACAACGTTAGAATCCGGGTTTCGATACTCGTGGTGGGCAGAGAACAGATAGCCCATTGTGTAGCTTTGTGCTTAATTACAAACAAACAAACAAACTAGTATTAAAGAATTAAAGAGACAAATTACAACTTACTAGGACTACATATAACGATATACCAAACATTTTCTTGAAGTTAATTTCAGCTTAAACGTTTTAAATGTATTTACGTTCTAAACAAACTCAAAACTAAACTCTCAGTTGTCCTTGATCCAACTAAACTGCGCGTGCAATATTAACGGACTTTGAGTTCTATACTTGCTTATCTCGCTCTCCAAAAAATTACCATTCACGATGTGGACATATTAAAATCACTCCGAGGAAGAAGTGTTTATATTTTCAGTCACGACGTTGTTACCAGGTCACTCATTTTTCTAAGGGAAATTCAACAAAGCGAAAATAACAAGTGGACGTTCGCTGGAATCTCGGATGAAGGTGAGTGTACTATAACGATAAAAAAAAACAAACAAACGGAGTAGTGATCATCAGAGATTTTGCGCTACAATGGAAAGTGTTAGCTAAGAAAGTTTCCAAAAACTTTAAACCAAAAACTTTGCCAATAACAGGGTGTTCTTCGACTCACTTTTTTTTAGAGTGTTTCTAACTTTCACACGACGAAGCTCCAACATGACTAGGAACTATCTTCTGGGGCTCATTTAATACGTTATTTAGAAGAAATCTTTACAATATCACTTATTTGTACATATACATGCTAAAACCTTCTGGTGCAAATTCAATGGGCTTCTACGCAAATGAATTTATTAAAACGATTTGTAAAAGTAGGCTCTCCCAAGTACGATTGGAAGGCTTGGCTTTAGGACTGTTTTACGGGGAAGTTGGAGCGTCAGGATTTTGAAGTAAATCGCCACTCTTAGTCATTATGGAAACTATAGTGCAAATCAACAATAGACAGTGCTAATATAATGAGAAAAGTTGTCGAATCGTTACAGAAACAAAAGATATTAGTTACATTTAATAATTGTTTTTGCTAACCATGTTCTACAAAGAACTGCCTGAACTGTGAACATATAAAAGAACAATTTAAGATTCTGCCCAAAATATAAGAGCTTTCATCTTTGTTATAGACAGGTTCACTGATTAGGCCTACCTTACAAATAAGGGTTTTTTTTTAATAGCGCGCAAAGCTACACGAGGCCTAGCTGCGCTAGCCGTCCATAATTAAGCAGTGTAAGACTTGAGGGAAGACAGCTAGTAATCACAACCCACCGCCAACTCTTGGGCTACTTTTTTACCAACGAATAGTGGGATTGTCCGGCATATTATAACGCCCTCACGGCTGAAAGAGCGAGCATGTTTGGTGGGACGAGGATTCGAACCCGCGACCCTCAGATTGCGAGTTCAGCCCATCACCATCAGGCCATGACAGGCCTACAAATAAGGATAGCAGTTGCAAATAACAGGATGAACAGCAGAAAATATAACTAGGAATTTTTGACCTGACTGATTTGAAGAATATAGGCTGGATATACTGAAAAAGATGTAAATATCAATCTCTATTTAGCAAACACAACTGAAGAATGTACACGGAGTTGGAAAGGGCTTCTCTAGATAGAAGAAATAGAGCCGTGTAATTCAGAAGACCAGAAGAAAACTCTGACTCTAGAATGAAAGAATTTACCGATATAAACTTGGACGAATATGGTCACCTCTGAGACTTGTGTATCTCAGAGACCAGAAGAAAACACTGATTCTAGAATGAAAGAATTAACCGATATAAACTTGGACGAATATGGTCACCTCTGAGACTTGTGTATCTCAGAGACCAGAAGAAAACACTGACTTTAGAATGAAAGAATTAACCGATATAAAATTGGACGAATATGGTCAGTTCTGAGACTTGTGTATCTCAGAGACCAGAAGAAAACACTGACTTTAGAATGAAAGAATTAACCGATATAAACTTGGACGAATATGGTCAGTTCTGAGACTTGTGTATCTCAGAGACCAGAAGAAAACACTGACTCTAGAATGAAAGAATTAACCGATATAAACTTGGACGAATATGGTCAGTTCTGAGACTTGTGTATCTCAGAGACCAGAAGAAAACACTGACTCTACATTTACCTCCAACTCTTGAGGAAAGGAGGGTAGTCAATAACATTTACCTCCAACTATAGCTCAAGAGTTGGCGGTGGGTAGTGGTGACTAGTTGCCGTTTACCTTTCATTGTGCCAAAAACTGTCGGTTTTTGTTTTCTACTCGATATATAGTGCCAAACTGTGCCTGAAAATAAATTATTTTCTTAGAGTATTTGAAGTTATGGTTTATACAGTCTCTAAAATCTGATGAGCTGTGAATTCGGCGAAACTAGTCTGTTGCAGCGGATTTGTGAACCAAAGAATAAATTATTTTCTTCACTTGAATTCACGTTTTGGTGATGAAAATAAATTAACAAATAAATTAAGCTATCAAGTGTTTCTTCTATATGATATATATATATATACATAGTCACCAAACTTAGTTGAAATATTCTATACAATAATCATACTAGTTTCCACTAAAATCCACTAGTTTCTTTGCTGCTTATATATAACTTCAAAGTTCCGAAACTAACCGTATTTAGATATTACTCTAATGAGCGCAATTTTAAGTAACCAATAGGAATTTGAAGCAGCTTCGTTGCTTCGCCCCCCCCCCCAGTGGAACAGCGGTATGTCTGCGGAATTACAACGCTAGAATCCGAGTTTCGATACCCGCGATGGGCAGAGCACAGATAGCCCATTGTGTAGCTTTGTGCATAACTTAAAACAATCAGTCGTTGCTTCGCTATCCGAAGACACAACTTCTATTTTTGCTCACAACTTTCTTAGTTAACAAAAAGGAACTTGGCGACATCACACATAAGTTGGTCTATGGTTATTGATATTTACTGTCTTCTTTCACCCAGGAAATAATTTTGTTGACCCATGTGGTGGTAAAGATTTATCTAATATTGTTCCTTACATTGGCAGAATTAAATAATCGTATTATTTATTGTTTATTTGAAGATTTTCTAAGCGGTTCAATGACGTTCTTCAGTTTGGTTTGGTTGTAAAGCGCAAAGCTAAACAATGGGCTATCTCTTTTAAATACAGGTATCGAAACCCGATTTTTATCGTCATAAGCCAACAGACTTACCGCAGAGCCACTGGTGAACCTGTTCTTCAGAATAATAATAATAATGCCGGTCACGTGGCTCGTCGTTGAGATTTCAAAATGAGCAAAGAAACGAGAGAGTTACATCAGCATGTAACCTAAGGATACGTATAACCACTAGCTGGAACATAGAGAGGAAGCATTTGGGACATAAAACGAAATTGTACTAGTTAAGGCTAGAGACTTATATGTTTCTGAATGTACTTGCTATTTTACATACGACACACTAAGCGATAATCATGCTTCATCGATTAACATGTCCGTTGACATTCTCAACTCAGCGTTGAACTTTCTTATTCATCAAAGAAATTGAGAAACTAAAAAAAAAAAAATATTTATTTATTTATTTAAATTGCGAATTGCTAAAAAAAAGGGACAAACATCGAAACTCTGCTGCTTAAAATACGGATACAAAAATACACAGAATTTTAGAAAAGAAAAAATACACGAATCTTTATTTTTTTAACCAAAATCATTTAAAATAATACTTACGAAACATTTATTTTTTTAAGCGTGACGTATGAATAACACTAGCATTACCAGAGAATTTATAATAGTGAAAATACCGTTTTTTATATTACGAACAGAAATGTCATTAAGTTGTTTGTGACGAACTCAACAAATGTCTTCACGTTTTATCCAGTTCTGCCCCACAATTAAAAAAATTAGACATATATATATATTCAACGTTTTGGGGATGTTTATCTGTGTAATATAGGGTTAAGCGTGACTCGACGTTAGGGTTAAGGACTGTGGGTATGGAGGTTCCATTGTTCGCGTCCACTTACGCAAAAAGCAAACAATAAATCTAATTTCGTACTTTGGAGCCATGGGTGTGTCAAAAAAATGACTGTCACATACCACTACTCGGTCAAATAAGATTAGCCTTAGAGCTGGCTGTGGGTTCTGTTTACTAGTTACCCTCCCATTTGTTTATCAGTTCAAAATTAGGGACGGCTAGTGTAGACAGCCCTTGAATAGCTATGCGTAAATATCCGAAAACAAAAAACATTTATCTGTAATCTATGCAAAAAAAAAATTCAATTAATCTAATGAGAAGTATCCTTTATTATTAACCCTTTAGCTGCTGTTTAAACTGAAAACGGGTTTGATGTATGAATACATATATACAACATGCAACCTATCTCATACATTAATTTGAATATTTTGAAAGAAAGACCAATTTTTAAATGCAAAATAAATATCAATAAACATATCATAGTACTACACGTTATATTTGTCCCCCAATGGCTCAGCGGTAAGTCTAAAGGCTTATAACGCTAAAAACCGTATTTCGATACCCGTTGCGGGCACAACACAGATAGCTCATTGTGTAGCTTTGTGCTTAACTACAAATTATTGTACTTAAGCACCATGCTTAATGTATGTTTGAATCAAAGTGAATGTAGAGGCATCATTCGTGTAAATATTGGTATCAGTATCACGCGTCCATTTAGAAAACTAGACTGTGACACTTGCATAGTCATGATATTTATGCTAGGTATTCATTAAATATATATCTGACCTTATCGCATAAGGGGGCCTTTCAGGTTAAAAATTATACGAAACTTTACCAACTATTAAATATCTGCGGGTCTCGGGGTCGAAACCTGTCACTGAACATGCTAATCATTTCATTATAACAGCTGAAACTTTGAACATGCTTGGTGATGGGTTTCTAATCTGCCACCACAGAATGCAAGTCGAGCGCTCTAACCATCAGGACATTTTAGGTTTTCATAAGTAAGTTTTATTATAGAATTGTTTTGTGTCCCCTAGTGGCTCAGAAGTAAATCTGCAAGTTTACACAAAACTAAAATTCGGGTTTCGATACCCGTGGTGGGAAGAGCACAGATGGTTCATTGTGTAGCTTTGTGCCTAAGAACAAAACAAACCAAACCAAACCAGAGTGTTTTGCATTGTTAGCTTAGTATTTGAACTTAGGACTAATCTAAGTCTCCTAAGTTGGCCGATCCTCATGAGTATTTGAACTTAAGACTAATCTAAGTCTCCTAAGTTGGCCGATCCTCATGAGTATTTGAACTTAGGACTAATCTAAGTCTCCTAAGTTGGCCGATACTCATGAGTATTTAAACTTAGAACTAATCTAAGTCTCCTAAGTTGGCCGAACCTCATGACTATTTAAACTTAGGACTAATCTAAGTCTCCTAAGTTGGCCGATCCTCATGAGTATTTAAACTTAGGACTAATCTAAGTCTCCTAAGTTGGCCGATCCTCATGACTATTTGAACTTAGGACTAATCTAAGTCTCCTAAGTT